ACACCCCTACTGGGATCAAGTCCAAAACCCTAGCATATGCTCTGACTGGGAATTGAACCATGACCTCCTGGTTCATGGGTCACACTCAACCACTGAACCACACCAGCTGGGCTAGATATATGTATTTATATATTTTTTATATTTTTATTGATTTCAGAAAGGGAGAGGGAGAGAGAGATAGAACCATCAATGATGACAGAATCATTGATCAGCTGCCTCTTGCATGCCCCCTATTGGGGATCTAGCCTGAAACCTGGGCATGTGCCCTTGGCTAGAATCGAACCTGGGACCCTTCAGACCCCAGGCCGACGCTCTATCCACTGAGCCAAACTGGCTAGGCTGTATTTTTTTTTTTTCTTTACTGATGTATCCCAAACATTGAGATCAATGCCAGGTATGCATGAATGAATAATGGAGGTAATTCTAAAGGAATTGTTCAAGTCAGGGGAAATGAAGTCAGATGGCAGTAATTCTCCAGGCTGACACAAGAGGGCATCACCGGCCTGTTACTGTCAATCTAAGGCGGCTCAGCCTTTGGCTAAACTGATTTTGAGCCCCAGTTTTCCTATGTTTGGGCTGGAGGAAAGGAAGGTTACAAAATATATATTCCCATAAAGCTAAATGGATTTCCTATTTTAAAGAAGTGTCCTGTCCTTTGGTTTCAAGTCATTCTGCACTGTTTTTAGTCTTTTTTTTTTTTTTGATACTCAATCTTGCTAATATTAGTGATGAAAAAAATCTTAATGTGACAAGAAATCTACACAGCCCTGACCGGTTTGGCTCAGTGGATAGAGTGTCGGCCTGCGGACTCAAGGGTCCCGGGTTCGATTCCAGTTAGCGGCATGTACCTTGGTTGTGGGCACATACCCAGTAGGGAGTGTGTAGGAGGCAGCTAATGTTTCTAACTCTCTATCCCTCTCCCTTCCTCTCTGTAAAAAATCAATAAAATATTTTAAATATATATATTTTTTTAAAAAATCTACACAAATAAACACTTTTTTTTTTTTTGCTAAACACAATTCTGGGTAATAAAGCTTATCTAAGGGGATTGATTCTTTTAATAACAATGTCTTCTTGAATTTTCTTTCCTATGAAAGCCTTTTTCAGAATGTTTTCCTCATGTAGATACAGGGACTTGAGTGTTTATCTCTTAAAGATGTTTTCTGGCCGAAGCCGGTTTGGCTCAGTGAATGGAGTGTCGGCCTGCGGACTGAGGGGTCCCGGGTTCGATTTCAGTCAAGGGCATGTGCCTGGGTTGCGGGCACATCCCCAGTGCGGGATGTGCAGGAGGCAGCTGATCGATGTTTCTGACTCTCTCCCTTCCTCTCTGTAAAAAATCAATAAAATATTTTTTTTTTTAAAAAAAGATGTTTTCTGTAAACCATATAACCTTCAATATCTACTGCCCACATGCAGAAACTGATATTCTCAATAAACATTGCGCATGTCCCTCACTGATGGGAGGCTGGTTGGTTGAAGGCAGGAGGAGGGGGAGGGGAGGAAATAAGACGGTTTCCCAGAAGGCTATGAGGCTCTCCTGTTTTTAGTCTTGAAATGGCTTTTCTATTGTAGAAAAATGGTTAAAAAAATTTTTGTAGCCCAGAAATATTTTGGAAATTTTAATAATTGGAAAATCCAAAATCTGGAAACCACTTGTCTAAGGTAACCATAGTTTAATTAAAAACATGAGCTCTTGCCGATGTGCTCAGTCCTTAGAGCATGGGCTGGGTTCAATTCCTAGTCAAAGGCACGTGCCTTGGATGCGGGTTCCGGGTTCCATCTGCCCCCTGGGGGCGAGTGTGGGAGGCAACCAATCAATGTCTCTTTCTCTCTCTCTCTCTCTCTCTCACCTCCCTCCTTTCCACTCTCTCTATAAATCAATGGGGGGGGGGGGGGAATATCCTCGCGTAAGGATTAAAACAAAAAAGAAGGGAAACTTAAAAACCAAACCTTAAGTATAACAAAAATGTAAACTATAACTGTGTTTACTGAGGCGGTGTGATTACATTAAGGGCCCCTTGTTCCCCGGTCCTTCTGAAGGGGGGGCGCCTGTCCATCCTTAGCTGGATCGGGGGCCAGCATCGCCACTCCAACAGGAACACACAATTGCAAACAAGCTGCACGTTCCAGAGCACGCCTGAGACATGAATGCTTTTCTAAAGACAACCTAGTATGTAACACGGGACCTTGGATCCCTCGGAGCACTAGAGGAGACTCAGGCACCCATTCCTCCTCCATCCGTGTACCGGGTCCACCAATCTGCTTAGTTCCTGCGCCCCTGGCGACAAGCAGGCAATGGAACAGCCACGCCCTGCCCCCCTGGCGCACACATCCCGCACCCGAGCCTGAGCCTGAGCCACCTACTAAGACTGCCGCGGAGAATACTGACATCCTCAACACACACAGAAAAGATGCAATTGTTCTCTGTGTTAAAAGAGAAAACAGCAACCTTCCCCTTCTAATGCATCTAGAGAACTAAAGTCAAAAACGCAGAACCAACCCAACTGATAAGAAGCACATGTCTAATTTTCATACACTCATTGATAAGTCCTGCGAATGCAAGACCTCAAAAAATTGAGTAATAACTCAGAATTGTTCCTCTCCACGGAAATCTTTAGTAAAAGGCGAAAGATTTATGCGGTCTGAAGAGAAACCAGAGCATGCCTTGCGCAGCGTGGCGCACAGTCCTCAGGTAACTGTAACTCCTGGAAAAGCAATGGTAACTATTTCCACAAAAGAGCTAATGGTTTCTGCCCTGAGTTCAGACAATTCTGTGAAAGCAGTCGCATGTTTAGTGAGGGGGAAACGTTGAAAGAAAAAATAACCTAGATGTTTTAAAGTAGAAAATAGCCTATGTGCAATGCATTGTGGGTGTATAAATGAGCTGAGTCACCAACTCCCGGTTTCCGGAAATACCTTAAATGGTCCTTTTGTTCTCCTGCCGGGCGCAGGGCCACCACCAGGGGGCAGAGCAGGAACCAGATTGGCAGGAGTACAAAAGCCTGCTCCGAACAGAAAGACTTTTATATATGAGTAATTCCAAGCCAACACTTCTCTTGGGAAACCAAGATGGCGGCATAGGTAAACACCGGAAATTGCTGCCTCGCACAACCACTTCAAAAATACAACTAAAAGACAAAATGGACATCATCCAGAATCACAGGAAGGCTGGCTGAGTGGAAATTCTACAACTAGAAGGAAAGAGAAAAGCACACCGAGACTCAGAGGAGGTGCGGAAGTAAAGTGCAGAGGTATGGAGGCACACACAGAAAGGGCTGGCAACTAAGGACACGGTTGTCTTTTTTAATCGGGAGCGAATCTCAAAGCTCCCGACTGCTCTGAACTCCAGTTCCGGGCGAGTCTCTGGGGACCCAGACTCATACGGGGAGAAACTGGCATCGGTCGGAACTCAAGGGCGGCTTTCTCTCAGAGGTGCTTGCAGCGATTACTGGAACACTGAGACACGGGGCCTCTTAGGGAGGACTGAGGATCAGCCATAGCTGTTTGCTCCACCCTGTTAATTCCCTGAGACCCTGCCCC